CGCTTTGTGGATATCTTTGTGCCTGAACACACTGCCTCCAATCACCAAATCGTTGAATGCGCAGAATTCTGCAAACAATTCTCCATTCTCATTCATTTCACCTAGCGCCTCTCGACCCATGGTTAGTTCTCTTCCCGTGTTGTCCCCTCCCAGTTTCGTATTCATGTCGCCCATCAGAATTTTGATATCGCCAACTGACGTCTTGTCCAGTGTTGATTGAAGTTGTCTGTAGAATTCCTCCTTTTTCTCTTGCTCTGCATTATTTGTAGGTGCATAACATTGTATGATTGTGACCTTTCTTCCTTTTGAGTTGAATCTTGCTGTCATGATCCTGGAGGAGATTGGTTCCCACTGCATGAGAGCCTTCGATGCTCTTGAGGACATCATGATAGCCACTCCCTCAGTGTGCTCGTGGTTGTCGTCTGGGTGACCGGAGTAGATTATTGATTCTCCAGTTGACAGTTTGGAGAGTCCACTCCCATTCCATCTGCTTTCGCAAATCCCAAGCACTTCGATGTTATACCTTCTCATCTCCCTTGCAATCTGGGCTGCCTTACTGGGTTCAAACATCGTGCGGACATTCCATGTCCCCACGTTTACTTTCGCTTTCATCGAGAGAAGACACATCGGCCAATTGGCTTCCCGAAGGCTTTCACCAACTGGCGTCATTTCGCCTCTCCGATTCCAGCGGGGAATAAGTTTGTTTTCATTTTTTATATTTTGTTTGTGCTTTGAAGTTTCTTTAGCGGTTAGATTTGTTTTACGGGGTAGGGTTGCTAGCCCTATGCCCAACCTTCCCTCTTTACCCGGGCTTAGGACCGGCTAGTAACTAGTGAACTAGTTAACCAGGCGAGGTTCAAACATCTTCCATAAATGACATAAAACAGCTGACATATATCGTTTTCATCATTTTCTAGATTAAAACTTGAACAATGTTCACTATCAATAGCATAAGAATACGACTCGAATTTTATTTCGGAAACTACTGGTACAATTATTTGAAGATATTGTAATCACAGTTGACTAGAAGTGTCGACTGATTAATTTGGTTCTTGGAAGGTGCTCTACAGGGCCATGTTATTTTTCGATAGTCACGTTTACTACTTATAAGTAGCTAGCCAGTTAGTCTTAGTATTTTTGTGTATCCATCCCCATAAACGCACATTTTTGTATGAATCCGTCTGTTTGAATTAACCAGCCAAGTAGCACCATAAACCTTCACGTATTGGGTGAAACTCTCAGTCTAGAAAATAAACGCATGAACGGGGTTAAGTTGTATGATTTGAAAGTGATAGTGAAGTGCCAGAGAATTCTGCCACCTGAGTTACATGCATGTGAGTAAACTAATATGAAAAATTTATCCCTCTTTAAGTTAAATTACCAAACGAAACAGAACATTAGCAGGGAATCTATTGTTATTATCTGATATTTAGAGATCAGTGTCAGTGCCAGTGCTAATTGAAATCAATATTGAAAGCTACCTCCATAACTTTAGATAAATCACAATCTCCATATATCAAAGCATCCTAAAACTTTCACTGGAAAAAATATTTTTAATTCCACATTAAACTTATGAATTCGGTTTATAACATACACAAAATGAATACGACTTTGGGGTCTTGGGAACTGATATCTCACCGATCCTTTGGAATATTTGGAAAAATTAGATTGATGTCTACCACTACCAATGTAATCACAAATGCTAATTTGGATGTTCCAGCTGGATCCAAACACTTTTTTGAGATTAGGCTTTCATCAAGAGTTCTAAAAGACATGTTATGGCGGTCTTCATACTATCGCAATGCTCCTTGAGGATGGTGTTGGTCTTGAACTTTTATCATGCGTTAAAGAAGCATTCCGAGTCTTTGGGGGCACCAATAGACTTTGAAGAAGTTTTTGTTAATTAGGAGTCCGAAGATGCAACGTTTACAGTTGCTGTACTAGCTATGAAGCGTAATGATGTAGGGATCAACGGAAACTTTACAACAGAACCTAGTCAGTCACCCTGAAATTCGGATCTTCATCTAAAACTGAATGCATTTGTCCAGCTATGTCACAACTTTACAGGTGTGCCTACACGTCATCAAAGCATCGGTATCGTGCTTGTTGGCACTCATCAGCAAGACGTACATGCAACGTCAACGAAACCTGTGTCCTGCCCGGGATTTGAATTCACGCCATCCAGTGTTGAAATCAGTGAGATCACTGAGCTATCCGGACCGTAGATAGTAAATAATACTGTGTTATAAATCAAATTGACAAATCGAATATGGAATTAAATTCTACCGCAGCGCCCAAGTTTTACACTTACATTCATAAATCATTTTCCTGACTTTAAGCTGGTCATCCTACATACACACTGAATGCCTTTAATTTTCTCTTTGGAATTTCAACATCCTGTCTACCACCTCAAATTTCGGCATTTTAGCCCCTAGGTTAAGGATCTAAGAGCAAAATCTCTGGTGAGCAGACACTTCTTCCAGGCACGAAAACTCCTTGGGTTAACCAAGTATGAATTAGGAACAGGTGGTGACAGATGGTGACTGACGTCCTTGTAATGTCGTATATCGACTTAAGTTATAAAATTCTGAATGATGACACACCAGCGTATAGCTTGAAATCATTTCATTCCTTCATAAACAATCAAACCAACAGAATCAGTAAAATAGCCACTATTTAATTGGTAAGCGAAAACAAGATTTATTTCATGTGACTTGGAGAAACTAAGAACTGAAAGAAGTAGGAAATGTGGATGAATGAATTTCGACCCAGTGGCTCAATGGTAACGTGGTGGCCACGGAACCTGACGGTAGTGAGTCCGACCCCTGGTGGGGTCACATATGCTCATTGCTGGAGTCCCATACTAATACGAAACAGCTGTCCAGTCCTCCCAGGTTTCTAATAGTTCTCCAACTAAAGTCAGTCAATACCAACCTGAAACCAATAAAATCACACAAACCTCCAAATTGAATTAATCTAGTTCTCATTGGGGGCTGGCTTCGAGAAGTGGTTCCCGAAGTTCCAGTGAGAAGTCGTGGCCCGTGGGCCAACCAAGTCGAAGATCAGGACAGTTACTCAACGAAGCCATTGGATGGAGGTCGAGGTATATCGTGAACTGACAGAAGTAGAAAATTTGAACTACTGGATCCCGACTATTATGAAGTGAATCATTACCTTCGAAGGGGCCCGTAGTCCCCCCCGTTTATAATTCAGCTCAATTTGCATTGGGACGAGGAGACCTGGTTGAGAAACCAGTGTGGTTACGATGAACGGGCAGTCGCGTAACACGTATTCACCAGGCAAAATCCTTTGTGACTGAAGCGAAGTTGTGATCAGGTCAGCAGCCAAACCACATAGCGCAGTTGGTAGAGTGCTGTGCCAGAGATCAGGAAGCTGGTTGCTGCATCTCATTACGCCTCCATCCAGTATTTCATAAGATTATTAGAACCAGTTAGTGATGACTGGTGCCGAGCTTAGGATTTAACATGAAGGATCTGAATCAATGAAATCGTTAATCTTCAGTTTATACTATGCCAGTGAATGGACCAGTGTTGTTTAGAAGCGATCTGCTTCACACTAAAAACTGCTGTTTGCAGTTATATCCATGTTGGCGACTAGCAGAGGAATACAGGATGCGTGTTTCGTCCCATTTGAGACTCATCAGCTGGATGTACCTGTGGAGGTGCAGGTGTGCAACGCACATCCTGGATTCCTCTGCTAGTCACGAACATGAATATCCAGCAGTATCGAGTCATCCGCATAAGAGCCCAACAACAGAGGTCGAGTAATTCAGCTTTATATAGCACCGGAAATTACAAGTATCACTACAACTGCTGCTTGAAGATTGATAAATTAAATTTCTTTAGGATTTCAGTGTATGTGAAGATATATTTCAACTTACTTTTAACTGCTTATCCAAACCGTTAACATGCATTTAAGTGTCCAAAAAATTTGATTGTATTTTAAGATGAGATATATGTTAAGTAGCAGTCGTCATTCGTTTTGTTGTCGCTTAGGCATTTCGTAGCTTTTCGGTTAAAGTATCTACATAAATGTGCTGTCAGTCGTCAAGTGGTTCAATATCAACTGCCCAAATCTATAAATAACCCTTGAATTACTTAGAACTAAGGCTTTCATGCATTATATTAGCTTTACAGTTAACACGTTTATCAAAGGTAACTATGATTTGTATAAGTTTTAGCATACCAGTAAAACATCGGTTTTTAATCAACGAAAACCTTTTCCTGATATTATGTCTATATTATCAGTCCAAAAAAGTATACGTTCCGTTGTTATTCGATTGCTAGGTTCATACTAAAAAGATTGCTTCCTTTACGATGATGTTGCATTAGTTTAAATGCCTTGGTAGAACTACAATTAGTAATGTGGAAGTTACGCTTCAAAATACATGTTTGATATGAAACATGGATAGTAGTAGTAGTTAACAGTCGAATCCAGGTAGCGCGTTTCGTCCTATTTGGCACACATTAGGCGGATATATCTGCCTCCCAGTGAGTTATTTTGTTCCCGCCTAGGTACATATATATATATATATATATATATATATATATATATATATATATATATATATATATATAGGTAATAATACCTATACCTATATGAGGAAGGAACTTAAACTCTTTGCTCAACCACTGAAAGTCAAGTCCGCAAATTGATTAATCACAATTCAATAATGTATGTTGATGGTAGCAAAGACTATGATTACTGTTAGATCTACTTTGTTTATGTACATAGATGAGACGTCTTTAAGATGAGAATTACGAGTTGTACAGTGAACAAATTCTACAGTAATCATAAATAAAGATTATTGTAAATAAGTTTTTCCTTTGAAAAGAAAATCATCACAAAGTTTTTGTATTCTATGATAACTTCATATTAAAATTAAAGGTGATTAGAAAACAAAATGATGATATTCACCTATTTACAAAATCATTACACAACTATAAATGTATTATGATGGCCAAAAAAAGTAAATACAATTACTGTTTATCGATCAATGTTCCACGAATTCGTCTTTGTTGGGCTTCTTCAGTAGCCTGAAAAATTAAGTTGAACAAGAGAAAATAATAGTTTAAGGATTTGAATAATAACAATTTCTCGAGTTCAAATGATTATTCAATATGAATGACCTCACTTAAACTGATAAGTGATATGATCAATAATATTGTAGGATCAGAGTATATATAGTGTGGAATTAATGGTAAGGTGACAAATAAAAATCATCTACTTCCGTTTAGTTTAGAGTTTAAGTAAAGAATTTTAAATGAAACCATTTTTATTACAAAAGTATACGATCAATTCATTGTAAATTTTACTTTAAATATTGAGTCATTTTGGAATTCAGCAACTCTAAGCACATTCATGCAGTAGGCAATGAGCCACACCTAGTGTGTGACGTCTATTGATGATAGTACCTGATGGCCCAAACCATGGTAGATGAAGCAAGGGTTCGAACCCGAGACCCAAAGACTGAAAGCCATTTCCCTAAACCAATAAACCTTAGCTCCACAATTCTTTGGGGACGGAATGCTAAGAGAATGTCTAAAAGTCATCCATAGTCAACTGAAAAGGAATGACACCTACTTCTGAGAACTGAAAAGCAAATAGGCACTACACTAAGTGGTGTGTCGTACGGAGTAGGTGGTTAAACTATCCCATCCTTTTATGGACAATTGGTTATGTTTTTGAAATAAATTTTCACCTGAACAAATTGAATCAGTTTTACTCTACAAAATTGTCCTTTAAACTGCTTATAATTTGAAGTCAATTTATAATCACATTTCCCAATTTGGGTCAAAAATTCCCATGAAATAAAACTAACGATAGTATAATTGCTTGTATTATACCGTCGTTGATTGGACCGAATTGATCAGTTTGTATTGGCATATGGGCTCCTGTGAAGATGCCTGGATATTACCTGTGTTCTAATAGTAGTAAAGATGGATAGTGGTTAGTAGTGGAATCCAGGATGCGCATTTCGTCCCATTTGGGACTCTCAGCTGGACGTACCTACCTCCCAGTGAGTGATATCGCTCCCACCGGGATTCAGACTCGGGATTGATCGCCCCAAACACCAAGGGGTTACCCACTAGACCACCGAGCTACGATAGGCATAGTTTTAGTATAACTGCTTGTCACTGATTGGACCGAATTGATCGGTCTCTATTGGCATATGGGCAGGTACATCCACTTGATGAGTCCCGAATAAGACGAAAGGAGCGTCGTAGGTTCCTCTGCTAGCCACAACAAGGCCAAATTACCATGATTAACATATAGGCAATATCAAGGCAACCGTATAGGAGCCCATATGCCAATAGAGGTTAAACAATTCGACCCAGTAAAACAACGGAGAATTACAAGTATATCAATAAGTAATCATATATGTGCTTATAAAATACGGGAACGGTAAGCAGAAAGAATGATTCATCCATATGATCTTTTCAGTAATCAAGAAATCAATCTTGGCCAGTGTTAAATACACACATGTGATTGAGAAATTGCTACAAATGGTAAAGAACATCCGGCTGGGGCCCAAATTTTCATCTCACCTTCAATTATCACCCAGTATCAATACGAGTCTGCCAAAACACAACTGATACTTAAATAGTCTAATTCAGTTAAACCTACAAACTAACTCAGAGATAAGCTTTGTCAGCTGGCTTAAGAATCCGATAGAACCAATTCAGCAAAATAATCTAATCTATCAAATTCCATGTAATGACTTTTAGGTCAAGTACATAGGTCAAACTAGCCGATCGGGGTTAGTTAGATTAGTGGAATATAATAATTTAGCTAAATCTAGAATGACGGACCCAAATAAGATCAATAATCTAGAAGAATACTCGGCTACTGCAATGCATGCATTAACACACAACCACACTATAGGGTGGGTAGGATAAAACCATTGTATTCAAGTCCAATATAATTAGGTAGAAATAGAGAGATTGATTACTGAATCTTTGTTCATCAAATCAACACGCAACAGATGTAGTCGGAATTACCCAACACCTATACCAGAGATATAGAAAACTTTACTAGCAAAAGAAACAAAGAATAAGAGGTGACAGGACTATAAAAAGTAGATGTCGAAAGTAGTGTGATTACACTGATATGGTTATGAGCAATAAGTAATTAATGCTCGAAACATTACCAAGTAAATAATACCGTATCACATTGTGCGTTATAAATTAAATAAACAAATCTAATATAGAATTAAATTCTACCGCAGTGCCCAAGTTTTACACCTATGATAAAGATTTTCTACTGAAGAAAAAAAGTCAAACCATTTATTTTAAAAAATGGCTAACTATTGCTAACCATGAACTTATATTACTTCCTTTAAAATGCATACCGGATTGCGACGGTATAATCTTATGAAGTGAAACAGAACCTACAGTTCAGTTATGCTGAGTTATGTGCATATTATTAGTCGACAGAGAAAGCCGTGAAGAGCTAAATCAACGGGGAGTGACTCAGTAAAGTTATAATCACTATTGATAATCGCAAACCATTTTATGTGGCGAATTTTCGCTTAGACCTACTCAATGATTTACGGTACTAATAGGCTGTCCAGCGAAGTTTGTACAGTGTCTATAAACACACACGAGACTAAATGGATCGGAATCAAATATCTAAACAATGAAACCGCAAGAGAGGAGACTACTGTTTTTCCAAGCTGGCATTCATCATGGACTGACATCAGTTTGAGAAACACTGGTAAACTGGGAGCACTGAACGGTTGTTTCGTCCTATTATAGGACTCTTCAGCAGAGCACACCCATCAACCCACCCTCCAGGGATTGAACTCAGGACCTTCAGGTACAGTGTGGCTAGCAAGTCACCACTGAACCACTGGGTTGGAACTCAATGGTTCATATTTCCAACTTCTGTCAGTTCACTACACAGCGTGACCATCATACAATGTCATCGTTATGTATTTGTACTCACGGCCACCAGGTTTGTTTCACTGGTCACGACTTCTCATTGAAACTTCAGGAATCCCCTTTCGAAGCTACCCACGAATGAGCACTAGTTCAGTTGAATTTGGAAGTTTGTTGGGATTTGGAGATTCGACTACTATTTAATTTTAAATATCTGGAATCCACTTAATCATAATCCAAATGATAGAAAATACTTAAATAGTAAAACGGATATGATTGCGTAAATAAGCTTACCTCGTCAACTAATCTTCGCTTAATAATGCCGCGTCGGATCATCTCTTGTTCGATTACACGAGCATTAGCTGCATACGAGTCTGCGATTTCTTTTGCTTCAGCTTCTTCTTCTTCATCTTCAATAGTAGAAACAGTGACAGCTGTATCTATCCCTTGAGTGGTTTCTTGTTGTTGAACACTTCGTCGTAATGGAGCATTATTTGATGTTTCACTTTTTTGTAGGGCAGCTGCTTCAGCAGCTAATGCTTCAAGTAATCTAGCATTAGCACAGCTTTCATCAATATGCTTTGATGAAGTTGGTCGTTTAGGACAAAGCATAGATGCAGATAAAGCAGCTTGATCATCTTGGAGTTTCAACGCATTTTTAATGATGAACTCAGTCTGTTAGAATGAAACAAAGAGAAGGGAAATATGAGTTTATAGGCATATGTGGCTCCAGAGTCTGGGAGCTTAAACAATCAACCACTACGTCAGAGGTTGGAGCCAAACTCGCCTATTATTAATTAAACTATCGTATAGCTTAGTCAGTACTCGCAAAGTAGATGAGACCGGTAGCACAGTACTAAAGTCAACAGACCGTTACTAACTGCACCCCTTATACTCTATGAACTGTAAGTTACATTATATTTCGATAAGAGCCCATAAAATAAATACATCAAACTACTGAATACTGCGTCAGTATGGTGGTAATTTGCGGGGAAAAACTTACTGCTATCATATATCGACTAAGGAAAACGACTTCGCCCTCGGACCCCTACCATGGCATAGGAATTTAAAATACAAGGGTTACCGCTTTTTGTCTTACGACAATCCAACAGCTATTTGGGTTACTTTGATACGCAAACCCCACCAAAAAGCCAACGTAGCAGCTATCAGTTAGTGGCATAAATTAAGCTTTGTGTTTGAGCTTTCTGAGATAGTGGATGTCAGTCGATGCAAAGATTAACAGGGAACGTTGAAAACTGTTAGCGACAGCACAGATACATCCATCTGATCTTGGTGTAGACAGCAAATTCTTTATCACTTACTCTACTTTCCTACAGTTCTTTATTACCATGAATTCTCCCTCACCGTGGTGTTAAGAACTTAAGTAACGTGTATCGGTGCACTGTCACAATTTAGTAACCATGTACTCATCAGTCTACTGAATTATTAACTGCGCTTGCTCTTTGATGGTTGATGAATACGCCGGGCTTCCAAAACTCCTGCGGGTGGAGTGCGATTCTAATTCGTAATCTACTGGCTCAATGTTGAGCTTCGAAATAAGTGGGTTAGGGCTTACATATTTACTGTGGTACGAAGCAATACTCCGGTTTAGCTACTCTTCATTATCTGACATTCGAAAACAATTTTCAGATGAAAATACTAGATAGTAAATGACACATCTCCATTCTTAATGTCGCATTTTGGACAGTCTGATAACACTCTGAAGCATGCAAGCGGTTGCTAATATTCACTGATCTCTACCAATTAATTTCAGAGGGGAAGTTCACAAAAGAGACGTAGGCATACGTGAAACTTACTAAGAAGGACAACTTTACAAACAGTACTGCATGTTTCCTGTTGTTGAATGAACCTAAGTGGTTGGCCACTATTGGTATATGAGCTGCTGTATCAGCGGGAACAAAATCATTCACTGAAAGATAGTTACATCCAGCAGAGTCCTCAATAGGGCGAAACGCATGTCTTGAATTCCACTGTTAGCCATTATTCATCAATAGCACCGAACTACAACTGACCTTAATATCGAGTCACCTATACAGGAGCCCATATACCAATAGTAGTCGATTGAGTCCGTACAATGAAAGATGGAAAACAACAAGCTATACCATCAAACAATACTCGTCACGCAAGAAGTGACCATCATGACTCCGTGGCCTAAAACATAACGCTCCAGTGTTTGGAGCGATGAAAGCTGAGTTAAATTTTCAATAGGTGCAACACTCACTAAAAGGTAAGTACATCCGCCTGTTGGGTGACAAACAGGACGAAAAGCGTATACCGGATTTCAGTCCTAGCCCCTATTCATCATTAGTATCAGTATTGAATATTTGTCTGTCAAGTCGAAAAAGATATAAAAGATGAAAACTTGGCACTCTGAAGGTCACTTGATACAGAGGACAAGAATAAGTGGATAGCTTCGATATACTTGGTCATTAAGACAGAAGTATAGTGCAATACTAAGATAACACTTACTTAATGCTTTGCTCGGATTTCAGTTGAACTGAGAGTTTTCATGCTCAGGCGACTACTTAAATAACTTTAGGTAAGCACAATATTATTCATGCTTACACTCCGAAATGGCAAATGACTAAAAATACATAAACCATAAATAAAAGTATCAATTTCTAACATGTGAAATAGGAGTTTCAGAAATGTCTGGCAGGCAGCTGTTATTTTGACGCAGTTGTCGAGCTTACTTACAGTACTATACTCGAGTTATGTTGATTGAAACGCTTTCTCCCTGATGTCGTATCACACAAGGAAGGTGTTGGAAAATGATGACACTAAAAGAAGTTGATCTGTCTGAGACTGAAGTCATGCTGCCGTATATATCACAAAGTAACAGGAAGTATCTTCTTGGAGGTGACTGGCATCATTACAGATGGCATCTCCTCGCTGTCAGGATGAATGGTTAGAGGTGTAATTTTGAAATTAGAGCAACTAGTTGACTGCATAGAATCCCACTACAAACCTACAAAACCAGATACTGAACCTAAACAAAACCAAAAGCAAACACATACCAAAGGCCTTAAATTAATATCCTAAGGACCGTATGGCTAGTAAAACCACCAATACTAACATCCATTTTTAAGTAATGTCTGATCGTGTGGGCAGTGGATGGATGGAAAACCACAGAATATCACAAAATTCCACTAATTTAAGCCACCCACTTTACAACAGCAGAGTAAAAACCAAGAAGGTGGAAAGATAACATGAACAAGAATGATACTGAAGGATGAATAACAGAGAGAAGGTCAATATAACATTTAGGATTCTGAAAATGATACATAGTGGAAACACCAGCGTTTTAGAGGTTGGTTGCAAGCCATGTCACTAACAGCCTTTTACCACCGATTCCATAAATTATGAGAACCTCAGATAGTCTAAACATTTTTACAAGGCTTAAACTTAAAGTCAACATCAATTATCTGCAAAATCCCAGCAGCATGTGGGACGTTTCTGGTAGCAAGCACCCTTTTTCCTCCATCACCCAAGTTTCTTCGACCTTTTTTACTGTCAGACTTACTATATTTTAAACGTTTTTAACTTCCCCAACCCTCATTAGTGGTTATAATTCCAGTACCTTGAAATCAAACTATAAGATACGTGTCGAAGCAAGCAATATCTGAACTCGTTGCCAAGCCTAACAGAAAATCCTATCCCAGAAACCCACACCGTGGATGAAGGCATTATTTGAAGGTATGCATATAGAACCCAAGAAGAGCTAGTCACCTGATTTGAAATAGTGACTCTAGTAAGTTGGTACGACTCATCGTCTGATAGTCAAAGAGTTCTATAGCCACTTCCTGCAGTTTTGCAGGTGTAAATGTAGCACTAGGTTTTAGGGTAGAATGTACAATGCTTAAGTAAATCCTAGATGGTAGTCATTGGTGTTATTTTCCACTAAATGGTACACTTATAATTCAAAAATATGGTGAAATAACTGTCCTTTTTTGCAATTTAATGAAATCTAATGAAATGAAGGATATTTTACCAAAAGTATTTTTAGTGGTTTTTGAAATCAGCCCACATATTTTTCTGCTTCATTACAATGTTTTCTAAAACCAGTTACACTAGATAGTTTGACTAAAAATTATTTGTTAAAACTTCTATACTTCGGATTTATTGGTAATTACCGTGGAATTTCCTGCACTATGACGATAAAATATGGGTAATCCACAACCTTTGCAATACCTGCGAAACTGTTTCTCTATACCATTTGGCCAACGTATATAAACCGGGGTGAGTGGATTAACAGCTGTAGCAGTTGTCTTATGAGCACGTTTGGATCCATCAATAACTCTAGCATCATCTCTGGGGCGTTTTGGCAGTTTTTCCACTAGACAATCAATTATTAGTGACATCTGTCCGCATATGCATGAATAGACAAACAAAGGTTTTTCACTTCCATAGTTGTGTCTTGGTTTGGAATCGGTTACAATATGTGTTGCTCGTTTGCGTACTCGTGGTTTTTGATCTTTGCTCATTAATTAATCTAGAAAAAGAATAGGTTACTAAAACAACAGAGAAGAAAGAAAAATATCAACATGAAAGTTAGTCACTGAACTCAAATTTCTATCACGTATCAATATAATGTCCCGGGTACTACGTTTATTTGGATAGTCATGCTATCAGTAAAATACGGATGTCTTCTGAAAATCGTTTTCTAGTTGGTAGAGTTTTACTTCAAATAAGCATTTCACTAATATGTCACTCATGCTCAAGATCATTGTGATTTTTCATTCCACGAGTCGATTTCACACGAAGAATCAATTCACCTTGCAAAATTATTGTCGAAAACTAACTGCAACTAAAGCAAAACAATGTTTATATTAAAATCCAAGTAACGGCAAGAGTAGTTTTATGTACCTTTGATAATAGTTACCAAGCGCAACAATTTTCTGTAGAGTAATTTCAGGGAAAGGCCAAACTGGCACTGATGACCGAAAAGTAAATAGTAACCGAAATCTCAAGCAATTTCTCATTGACACCAAAAGTTTGTTTGATGCAGTACTATCGTAAGAATACAGCAGCATTCTTGACAAAAAGGTTTCTACATCCACATCACAGTCATTACCATTATGTTCTTATTGCACAATGCAACCCTAAATTTTCACTACATTGAGACATTAGGGAATGGAGCGAGATAATCACGCTCTTATAAACGAGAACAAGAGTAGCTAGACCTCAACCTACTTTATTTAATAACTGTAATACCTTAATACATTGTCGAGGAAATAGATGTGGCTGCATTCCCACAGCTGTGATAAAAAAACAAGAGTAGACCCTAGTTTTACTTTAATAGTCTGCTTTGTTAGGTAGAGTAAAGACAGATATCGTCATTCAATAAGTGAGGTCATCTGAAAACACCGGGTTCGGTCGCTTCGACATATGTTGGACGTGTCGTCCCAACGGCTTTCACGTCGTTTATTGTTTGCTAACCCTGTGACTGGATGGAAGAAGCGAAGAGGTAGTCAGTGTATGACGTGGCGCCATGGGACAAAAGATTGTTGTTGGTTTATCACGACCCCCTGGGTGACGTCCGATAGATCACTCAACCCAGTGGCTTGAAAAGTTACCAGATATGGTTCAGAATCGAAACCAGTGGCAATCATACTGTAGCTTCCTCCTACCTTCTGCTGCAGAAAAGTAATGAATGTTTCGTTTTGAATGTACCTTACTGGACTCCCCTTCTAATCATTCTACTCTTATTGCGTTTTATTTTTATCCACTTCCCTTTGCTTCATATCTTCATAATGTTGTTATATTATTTTGTGTGGTGCAATTCTTGGTGCCCTTGATGTACCACGTCCTTGTTCTAATAACAAATAAATCATGCAAACGCTGCACAACAGGTGTTTCAAATGCATAAGCTTAACAAATAACCACCTCCAGTTCCTAAATGTAATAAGTCATCAGTTTCCTTGCATTAAATCCGAATATGAAGACTCATGAAGATATATATATATATATATATATATATATATATATATATATATATATATATATATATATATATATATGATGAGTTGTTTTGGCTTAAACTGAAAATATTAGCAGTACGGTCTACATGATTCCAGATAAGATATGACTATCCACTCGATGAACTATCAATTTTCAGTTATGCTATATGTGAATAGCTTTCTATCATACACTGATGGCCAATAAGATAATCAAGTATAGTGCATCGCATAATGTATTCCGACTTTATTAACAAGTTAGAAAATGGAGACTTAGTGACAAAATTCTAGACTCTGTCAAGACTAGACTCGTCAAGAATAATACCAATTTCCTAACCTACATCGTCAAACCTTACTGAATACAATTCCTACGTAACAATTAAGTCCTGATTAGGATTCGACAGACGTACACCTGGGATATCAAAATGAATAACAAAACACTTACTCCAAAAACAAGGTATTATCTTAAAAATAATATGAGCAGTGATCATCAACCAGATTTATTATAAATATACTTGTAACAGATGTTTATACACAATGATGCTATATAGTTTTGGTAATATTCCAAGCAAAATAACTATCCGTGATCACACCAAATGTTGGGATTATTTGTTCACACATTTACGAATATAATTCCTATAAAGTGTTTTTATTTTGTGGTTTTGCCATTATTTTTCCCCAGTACTATGTTTCGCGTTGTTGATAGTTGTTCTGAGTCATCTTTGTTGCATGTGCTGGGTGTTACTTGTACTAACTATTCCAAAAAAATGGTGATAACAGGTAGAATTTTGCTCGAAATATTACCAACACTAAATAACACCATAGTGTCAATGCTCATCACATATATTTATGATGTTGATTCCACAATGCACAAATTTTTCATGGATATAATTAACTCAACCAAATTTTAGTGATGACCGATCATATTCAGGTTTCACTTACAAGTGGCCTGTAAATACAACTAACACCTTTTTGTTATTTGACGAGTTGTCCAACGAAGGCGGACCTCTTCAATCCTAAGAAGTCAATAACCTTGTCAATAATCATGTTACTTTTTATGATTGTATTGCTGAGCACTACCACTGTTAATGTATATTAGAAAAATTTTGTACAACGACTAAAGTTGTGCAACATCATATGCTGAGAACTGCATACTGTAAACAAAATTACGGTTCGAAAAAAAGCAACTTTTTATTATTAACGGGAACGACTGGTTACTGTTAGTGTCGAACTTAACCTCGGATACTTCTGGTCATCTTCAAGTAAGTAAGCAACCATGATGAAGCTGGTCAACCTACTATGCATCGTTTCACCATATCTTCGAAAGTGACGAAATGATCCCCCAGTCTGGTGATACGAAGGGAGAGCTGGGGAGAAGTAGCTGATTGATGGGGAAGCTGTATAAAAAAAGTTGAATGGCGGAAGGAAGAGTGACTTTGTGAGGAAAAAGAAAAGAAGTGAGGGGAAACAGACTCTGAGGGAAAAAGCAGACATGTACGTTGACTGAGGAAGGCGAATTGAAGAGAGCAAATGAAACGATAGATGAGAAAGGTATTTGCTTACGATTTTCGTTGCAACTTCCCCCTAGTTTCGCCTACATACGCTTTATTTTTGCTTTTTCGGACTATATGGACAACGTTGATCGACGTGACTAGTAGATTGGAAAAAATGCACCTGCGGGTGAAATTCCTGTGGTAAGATTTTAAGGCGTAAATAATATTTTCACTAGATCCACGTGCAGAAGAAACTGGTACATCTGCAACAAAACATACGCTCGTAACGTTACAGTCGAATGAAGCGCTTATCAAATAATCTATCAATGGAGTCTTGCGAAGAGGTTTGGGAACTAATGCAACAAACATACCGCTTCCCCTGTTGTTGCTTGGAGAAACCCGATGCGAGGTTAAATGCAGGGTTTATGTAGGTAAGTTCCCCATGTGTCGTATCGTCAGGCAGCTTTTCTCAGTTGGGCTACAAGAAGGCTAATGGGGCTGAAAATTCAACGAAGTAAAATCTAGGTAAAGATAGTTGGTATGTGTCCTGCGTTAATCCATGCAATAAATATATCCAACATCCATCGTGCAAGGAGAGTAAACTTTTATTTTTTTCAGCTCTCACTTCTGAGTGTCAAGGTTTGGTTCTTCTCGTTCGGTTATACCTCTCTGGTGCTCGCAGAAATCTTTATTTTTTCTTGCTTGTAATTTCGGAAGTGGTGATTGTCAAAGTGAGGGTTTAGGAAACATTTGCCAATAAATATATCGAAAATATACTTTATGCTTACTTCCACTTAGTTTTCGAAGAAAATTGATCACGTGATAGAAGGAAACTGACACAAAAAGGTAAAATGTGAGAGAAGTTTCGCATTCCCAGTAAACTTAAAAAATGGTGCCTCGAAAAAAATCGAATTTAAAAATGGCTGGCACATTTCAGTTCATGCTGCCCAGTTGAATGTCTTGTGATACTCCGGGAACCTGACGGTTCAACCTGATCGTGCTTTTGGTTGCATCTGTATATTACCGTGCACATCGTGAAGAATTTCGGCCATTGGGCTATCCGTTGGTCGGCTGTACTGAGCAGAAAAGTCACTTGTGATGGGATTGCCTTCAGAGTAAGCTGGTCTTAAACGGTCGGTACTAACAGTATCTTCACTTCCGTTTCGCTCAGTTAAATAGAATTTCTCGTGCCGAATGATCACTTTGAATGGTCCATCGAAAGGCGGTTCTAGTGGCTGACGAACGGCATCGTGGCGAATGAACGCGTCTGATGCTTTCTGTAAAACGGGGTCGATGAAGACATCAGTTGCTTGGGGTCTAAAGGGAGTAGGCCTAACTGAACTCACTGCGTTTGTAAACCTAGTCACGTAAGATTTTTTGTCAAAAACATGTTTAAAAGTTGAAGGGGAAACAAATTCACCTGGGAGGCGAAGAGTAGTCTCATAAATGAGTTCTGCAGAGATGCATCCAGCATCAACTTTGAACGCGTTGTGAGTACCCAGTATGACTAGACGCAGGGCCTCGGTTAGCTGAGGTATGTTTGCGGCTGAAAGTGAAGCAGTCGACTGTCGATAGAGACGTTCTACTATACCGTTTGTGTGTGGCTGGTAGGCTGCCTCTGGGAACCGAGTGTGACCTAAAAGTGCAGCTAAAGCGTAAGCGAATCTAAACTCGAACCGGCGCCCACGGTCAGTTGTTGCGTAAGATGGACATCCAGAGTTCACTAGTCATATTTCGACGGAAACGTAAGCGACAGTTTCAGCAGTAATATCCTTAGTAGGCACTGCCTCTGGCCATCTTGTAAAACGATCCACGCAGTTGAAAAAGATGACCACTCTGGTTGAGGTCCTACAATATCTATATGGACACGTTCGAAAGGCATGTCGTCGGCCAGAAGGGAACCTATAGGGTTTTTTATGTGCCACGTGACTTCATACTTCTGACAAGCTAAGCACGACTGAGCCCACACTTTAACGTCTTGTTCATTCCCGGCCAGCAGAAACGTTGTGCAGTAAGCCAGGTGATGGCCCGTAAACCTGGGCGGGATAGTTAGTGTGACGTACTGAAGGCGTTGGGTCGACATCTCTTCGGAATTAGTGGGCGTGGCTGACCAACGGAGACATC